CCGCTTTCTGCTGGCTGGCATAGCGGTTAGCCCGCTCGTAGGTGCGCTGGTGGTGGGTTTTGCTCCGGACGCTGTGCGGGATGGGCTCGGGGAAATCGGCGTTCCCGTAGGCGTGGTTGAGGTTCTCCTGCAACGCCGGGACGTCGGGCTTCTTCTCGTAGCCGTTGCTCACCCAGCTGCTTCCGCTCCTCTCGGGCGCCCCGTAATTCAGAAACTGCGAGGGGAACACGTGGTTGCTGGAAAAGCCGTAATACCCGAAGGAGGGAAGCGCGAACTTGGAGTGAAACCCGTTCACGGAAGGCAGATTGGGCTGTGCATAGTAGGAATGGTAAGAGTAAACACTGTTCATGCTGTACGGGTCGGAGGGCCGGCAGCTCCCCAGCACCGAGTAGCTCTCCACCACCGCGTTGCCGTTGTACTTGAAGGCGTTGTAATGGCTCTGCGGCTCCACCTTGATGGAAGGTTTCAGCGGCTGCGGGGGCAGCCCGCTTTTCAACGCCATACCTGCGGGCACAGCACACACACAGCCCCCGTGACCCGCCGGCCGAGGGAACTGCCAGTGGGGAGCGAGGACCCCAAAAACTCAGCCGGACACGAAAATCCCATGGTGATGGGCTCACCGGCCAAACGCGGAGGTCAGCATCACCCGGCATCGCCCAGCGCGCTGGCACCGATTCGCACCCACGCTCCGGGCTGCGGCGAGAGCTCCCCGCCGCACGGCAGTATGGGGAAAAACTCAGGAGCCACAGAAATGCCATCCTGCACCCTGACACGCCGTGTGCTCAACGCCACCAGCCCGAGAGCGCCCCCAACCGCATCCCCGTCCCCTCGCGCGTTTTCTGGACGGCTCGGGGCGGCAGGACCTCGGCTCTGCCCCCATTACCTGCATTTTGCTGGAGGGTGGGGAGCTCGAGCGCTTCCTGCTTGATCTTCTCCGGCGTCATCAACTTCTCTTTCTGCAGCTTCTTCTTCTCCGCGGCAGCTTTCTTCGCTTCCAGCTGCCTCTGCCGGCAGGACTTGGCAGGCTCAGGCAGCTTGCGGACCTCACGGGGGAAGGACGTGAGCACCTGGATGGCCCCGCTGCCCACCTTGGCGTTTTGGTTCTCCTCGCTGCCAAATTCATCCGTGCTGGACATCTTGTAGAGGGGGAGGACGTGCAGCTGCTCATCTTCAGGGATTTTCCCCACCACGCGATTGTCTTCCTTTGTCAGCGTGCAGACCTGGGGGGGCGCAGGGTGCCATCAGCGGGACGCTGCCGGATGCGGCCCACGCAGGATAGGGGCAAAACCTCCTCCCGATTCCCCGCGGCGATGAGAAGCCACGCCAGCCTGGCATTCCCCCCTGGCCCGCGCAGATTCCCAACCAGCATTCAGAAACTTCCCACAGGGTTTAGGTTGGAAAAAAGCAAACACACGGTCCCCGTTAGCACCGTGCTTTTGTCTAGCTGGCGCGGCTTCAGCACCCCACAGACCTGAATGGTTCCATTTGAGGTCTGCAAACACCAAGGACAGGCCACTGGAGTCAGGTGGGCAGGACATTTGGGGACAGCGGGGACCGAGTGGCTCAAAAAGGAGGATCCCGAAGCAGGGGGGGAGCATCCCCAAAAAGCCCCGCCGGCCGCCTGCTTACCACCGTGCAGCCGTTGTAGAGGTTATGCTGATCTTTGTGAGCATGAGCGCAGAAGTCCATGCACGCCGTCACTCCCGAGAACGGCCTCCCCTCCTTCAAGCCCAGCCGGCAGTCTATCGCTACGTCCTCGTTGGTAACCTGGTGGAAGGAGGAGAGGGCTCCGGTTATCTGACAGCTCCTACGTGCCACCACCCCGTACCCCTTTCTCCCTGCCGCCGGGCCAGCGGGCTCTGAAGGGGAGGAGCGGGTGGCCAGTACCTGGTTTTGGTAGGCTTGCGGCGCCAGCCTCTTGTAAAGCGGAGCAACCTCAGTGGCCAAGTCCTGAAAGCTTTTCCGGAGCAGCTCTTCCTGCGGTAGGGAAAATAGGAGGAGGTGACCTGGGGCTATCACCAGGAGGGACAAGAACTGGGGCCAGAGCCCCCACACCACCACGCGGCATCCGACCCTTCCCACGATGTCCCTCACCACACAAAGCGCGTGGCTTAAATTCCTGGTGAGGTTTTGATCCATGAGCCCTCTGGCACCTTCCCGGGGGTTTCTAGAGAGACCCCATTCGTGCCACCCCGCACCAGCCCTTGCCGTCACACCAAAAGTCCTGGCTCTGCGATGCCAAGCTGGCCCTCCGGTTTCACCAGGTTGGCTTTCTTTCCCCCATCTCCCTAATTCATCAAAAATCCCACAAGGAATCCTATTTTCAAGCTTCCCCCTTGCAAAACTTGGAGCTGGGGGTAAAAGGAGGTCCAAACCCACAGCCGTGCCAGTGCTGCCCCACTCCGCCCGCGTCACCCACCTCTTTGGGATTGTCCCCCACCAGCCTGAACTTGCGGGGAGTTTTGCTCCGGGCGTATTTGCAGCCATTAAAATACATGCTCCAAGAGCAGCCGAAGGAGAAGGAAGCGCCGCAGGTGTTGGGGTCCTTGCCTTGGCATGCGCAGGTCCGGCTGCGGGAGGGACACCGCAGAGGCCGGCGCGGTGACGGCAGCTCTCAAAACAGGGCAGACCCCCGCATCCCCTTCCCACCTCATTTTCCCCAACCGGACTGGTGGCACGGTGGGACTTACTCGTCGTTCAAGCCGCAGCGGCGGCTGGTGGGGTTGCCGTACTTGGTGAGGGTGTCGGTGAGCTCCTGGTACAGCGTGTCGCCCAGCGTGCGGGGGATGCCCTCCCAGGCCAGGATCAGGATGATGATGACGGCGTTCTGGCAGTGGTGGCCGGCCCGGTGCCGCACCAGGCACAGCAGTTTCTCCTCTTGGTTGTGTCTCCGGATCACCTGGGAAACAGAAGGGACAAGTCAGACCGCTCCCAACACCTCCCGGGATGGGGAGGACCCCAAAAGCGGGTCCTGGATGCCCTCCGCAGCTCCCTGGAGGGATTTGGGGGGGCAGAACTCTGGGGGTTCCCATGACTTCATTCACCCCATGGGCACTGGGAGGGCGTACATGCCCGGCCCAGGGGCTGCAGGCATGGACGTGCCGTTCGGCGGGTGCCAAGGGTGGGAAGCCCCACGGAGTTTCCCCAGGGGCGGCTGCTACTTTCGCTTCCTCTTTGCCATCCACAGACCAAGCAGCCTCCCCCTGCCCACTGTGGCCAGCAGCGGCAAGGACCTCCTCGTCCCCAGGCAGGGAGGGGACAGGCCGGAACGTTACCCCAGGGAGGGCACCGAGGGGGCACAAGAGCCGGCATGCAGGCACTCACCCACTTGGCGATGGGGCAGCCCCGGGAGCTCTTCCCCTCCTTCCCCGTGTAGATGACCTTCTCGATGCGGATGGCCTTGCCCTTCTCGCCGTACCTGCCAGGGGATGGGCGTCAGTGCCGCTCGCCCCCACCACGCTCACGAGTCCCCCACTCGACCTCATGGGACCCCTTGTGAGCCCCCACTCACTGTCATGAGTGCCCACTCACCCTTGTGAGCCTCCACTCACCCTCACAGGGCGCCACTTGCCTTCACATGACCCCACAGGATCCCACTCGCTGTCCTGAGTCCCTGTTCATCCTCACAGGACACCATTTGCCCCTCATGGGACCCCACCCACCTTCACAGGACCCCATGTGCCTTCACAAGACCCCACGGGCCCCCACTCGCCCTCACAGGACCCCACTCGCCCTCACGATACCCCACTTGGCCTCCTGGAATCCACTCATGGACACCCACAAGCCCTCAGAGGACCCTGCTCACCCTCACAAGACCCCACTTGCCCCCCTGGGATCCTCTCATGGACCCCCCCAAGCCCTGGTTCTCCCTCATGGGCTCCCGCTCGCCCTCACAAGACCTCACTCACCCTTGCAGGACCCTACTCACCCTTATGGGACCCCTCAGAGGCCCCGCTTGCCCTCGCAGGCTCCCATTCTCCCTCATGAGCCCCCCCTCACCCTCACAGCCCCCGGGATGGGAAGGGGCAAGGACCCTTACCGTTCCTCCATGAGCTCCCTGATGGACGCCACGGTGGGTCCCGAGCCCAGGTGGGTGTAATACGGCCCCTCGTCCTTCTCCACAATTTGCTCTGCAGAGGCAGGAGGGGGACACAGAGATTTCAGCGTTTGCACCTCTGCCGGCTGCCCCAAAGGATGCCAAACCCCCCAATTCCCTCAAATCGAGCACTTTGGCACCAAAAATCAAAGGTTTCTCCATGGCGTTTCTCCCTAAGAGCACTGGGGAAGAGGAGCTGCAGTTAGGGGCTCGTTAAACATCCCGGTGGCTCCTCTTAATTTTCCGCTCCCTAAAATGCCACTGGGGAACAAGGGGACAGGTGCTCAGACCCACACCCTTTGGGGACCCAAAAACCTCCCCAGGGGGCTGCAGCCCCTCCGAGCATCCCGGCAGCGACTGCAGCTCCATCCTGGCACGGGGGATTTGTGCCGGCCGCTTGAGCGCGGTGCATTTTGATGAGCTCTGCCGAGAAGCATCGATTCGGCGGGCGATTCGGCACACAACCCCCCCCCCTCCAGCCCCCCCCTGCTCCCTGCCAGCTCCCACCCTGGGCACCCGTCTAGCCCCGCTCGCTGGGACTGGCCCAGCTGGATGCTGCCAAAACCATCACGGGATGATTTTGGGGCTGAAAACTACTGCTGCCTGCTTTTGGGCTTGCTCGGAAGATTTGGGGATACTCAAAGGATGCCCCAAGCTGGCTGAGCCCGTGGAAGGAAGGAGCTGCTGTACAGGAGAGAGGCTGAAGGACGCTGGGGCTATGGGTGCAGGACGCTGGGGCTACGGGACAAGGATGCTGGGGGTATGGGACAAGGACGCTGGGGGTACGGGCGCAGGACGCTGGGGCTACAGGACAAGGACGCTGGGGCTACGGGACAAGGACGCTGGGGCTACGGGACAAGGACGCTGGGGCTACGGGACAAGGACGCTGGGGCTACAGCCCTGCAAGCAACACCCCTCCCCACCCGCAGCAGCAAACCCCTTGGGGATTTTAGGGCACGCAGGTGCCGGCGCGGGAAGCAAAGGATGCTCCGGGCAGCCACGGTGGCACAGGGGTTGATCCCCGGCACGCAGCGGGGACGGGGAGGGGGGGGATGCTCGAATGCCACCGGGTGGGATGCATCCGGCGCGACGGCCGGGTCTGATCTGTCTTTTCCATCTCCCTGCTCTCGTCGCCCTGATTTTCATTCCCGTCATGTCTAACTGGCTGGGCGCCAGGGCGAGGAGAAAGCCGGGCTCAGCTGGGCTGCAGCTGTCCAGACAGAGATCAATACGGGACACGCAGCGAAGGCTGATTTTATTACAGCGTCTAACAGCACAGGCACCTAATAAAGCACCGAGCCCCGACTCCTACTTAATTGCTTTCTCTTACAGCTTTTCCTTGAGAAAATGGAGAGAGGTGGCAGGGGGGGAACCCCCCCTCTCCCAGCCCCTAAACCATGCTGCAAAAGGAGGTGGCAGGGGGGGAATCCCCCCTCTCCCAGCCCCTAAACCATGCTGCAAAAGAAAAAAAAAAAAACCAAAAAAAAAACCAAAACCAAAAAAAAAACCACCTGAATCTTTTCCCAGCACCGCGGGGCGGAACTCCGAGATCAGTTCGAGCGGCTCCAGAAAAGCCTTTCCTTCGCTCGGTGCCGCTCGGGCTAATTACTGCTGCCATTTACAAGCAAATAAATAAATAATCATAAGCCCTGCTAATAAAGCGCAGCTTGCACTTGAGCCGAGGCCACCTCTCCCAGCGGCGCGGGGGTTTGTTTTTCCGGCTGGATGCCCCAAATCCTCACCCTGCTCCTCCCAGGGGAGAATGCAATTCCAGTCTACATTTTGGGGAGGGAAGATCCAGCCCCCAGCGCTTGGACGGAGTTGGGACTGCATGGACCAGGTGGGAATTCTCCAGCACTTGCTGCAAAGTCTTAACAAATGCCAGCAGGCAGCAAAAAAATCCCCACAAAAAAAAAAAACAAACAAAACCAAACCCAAATCCAAGAGTTTGGAGCCTTTTCAATGCATCCTGGTGGGATCGGCCACCCAACAACCCAGCATCCCGGCAGCAAATACGACTCTGAGCGCCGAGCCAAACTCTGGGTTACTTGGAGTAACCCAACCCAGTGAATTTGGCTTAATTTGCAGGAATAAGCAGGCGAGCTGGGTCTTAGGCAGGTTTTGGGGCTGGGGTAACCGCAGCCCCTCCATGGGACTGAGCTGAGCGGTTAAGCAGAGGCAAAGCCCAACAGCCCTTTGCTTTCGCAGCCCTTCCAACCCACGCCGGCCCAGCCAGGTCAGCGTCGGCACCGCCCCCGCGGTGACGCGGCGGTTGCGCGGCGTTCACCTTCCGACCTTAAAAATACCAGGGGAGAAGAGAAAGCAAAAGAGAGCTCCGCAGCACGAGGGTGCAAGCGCCTCCCCCCCCCCCCAAAAAGAACAAGCGGGGGCTTTGCCAGCATCGCAGCATCGCTCCGTGATTTATCCAGGGCAACCCCACCCCGCAAAGCCACCTCTCGAAATGCCGCTGCGGGGCTCGCCGCCACCCCCGGGAAATCCCCCGGCACGGCCACTCGCTCACCAACGCAGTCGCAGGTGGGGAACTCCGCTTGCGCCCGCTTGGCCGGGGTGTCCAGGAGGCTTTTGGTTGGCGTGTCCAGGTATTTCAGCGGTGATTCCAAAAAGCCGCTCAGGGTGGGCGTCAGCGGCACCTCGTCCTTGGTGGGCGTCCCGTCGGCGTCATCCGCGTCCGGGTTTTGGCTTTCCTCAGAGTAAAAGCACGTGGTCGACACCACGGTGATAGCACCAGAAGACTCGATTTTGATCTGTTTGGGGGACCGGGCGGTGAAAGGGGGCTCCGAAAGCGGACCCTTCCCCGGCGAGAATGAAAAACTTTTGGGTCCGGCTTG